CTCCAAACGGTAAGCATTGTCATTGATCTTCTCAAGGATCCTGAATGGACCGTCGCCTCTTGGTGATAGCTTGGATGCTCTTTGTGTTGGAAACCTCTCATGCCTCATATGTAACCAGACCCAATCTCCTGGTTCAAATAATACTTCTTTTCATCCTCGATCAGCTTTGCGTTTGTTGTCGACGGCCTTCTTCTCCAAGTTGCCTTTTGCTTTTTCATGCAACTTCTTTATGATTTCTCCTCGCCTTAACCCAACTTGACAAGCCTGTTCTATCTGAGGTAAAGGTGCTAAATCTATGGGAGATAAAGGGTTAGTTCCATAGACTATCTCGAAGGGAGATAGTTTTGTAGCCGAGTGAACGGCACGATTATAAGCAAACTCAATAAAAGGAATGCAATCAAGCCATGTAGCCATATTCCTACCAACAGTGGCTCTAAGTAAAGTTGAGAGAGTTCGGTTTACCACTTCGGTTTGTCCATCAGTTTGAGGATGACAAGTTGTAGAGAATAAAAGCTTGGTACCTAACTTTCTCCAAAGTGTCTTCCAAAAGTGACTCAAGAACTTGGTATCACGATCAGAGACGATGGTCCTCGGGATACCATGGAGGCGCACCACTTCCTTGAAGAACAAATCCGCGGTTTGAGTAGCGTCATTGGTCTTGTCACATGGGATGAAGTGTGCCATCTTGGAGAACCGGTCCACGACGACAAAGATTGAATACTTGTGTCTAATCTTAGGCAATCCTAAGACAAAGTCCATAGAAATATCTACCCAAGGGGCGTTAGGAATAGGTAATGGTAAATATAGACCATGAGGATGTAACCTGGATTTTGCCTTATGGCAAACAATGCATCGAGAACAAAATCTCTCCACGTCCTTCTTGAGATGGGGCCAAAAGAAATGATCCATGACCATTGCCACTGTTTTGTCAACACCAAAGTGACCCATCAACCCTCCACCATGTGCTTCGGTTAGTATCAACTCTCGCATTGAACCTTGAGCGATGCACAACCGCTTGTCTTTGAACAGGAACCCATCTTGCAAGTAGAATGCTTGATAAGCTCCTTTGCCATCCTCTTTGTAGCACTCTCCTAATTCTGGATCATCCTTGTACAACTCCTTGATGTGCTCAAAACCCATTACTTTAGCCTCCATTGTAGCTATAAGGGCATGTCTCCTCGACAAAGCATTAGCTACCACGTTCTCCTTTCCCTTCTTGTACTTGATCACATATGGGAACGTCTCGATGAACTCTAACCACTTTGCATGTCTCCTCTTGACTGAAGTCTGACCCTTGAGATGTTTCAGAGTTTCATGGTCGGTGTGAATGATGAATTCCTTGGACAACAAGTAGTGTTGCCATGTCTCAAGTGCTCGTACTAAGGCATAAAGCTCTTTGTCATAGGTCGGGTAGTTTAATGCTGCTCCACTTAACTTTTCACTGAAAAACGCGACTGGTCTTTTTCTCTGATGTAGTACAGCTCCAATTCCCAAACCTGATGCATCACACTCCACTTCAAACATAACTTCAAAATCTGGAAGTGCTAAAACTGGTGCTTGTGTGAGCCTCTCTTTCAGCGTGTTGAATGACTGTTCTTGGGCTTCTCCCCATGAGAATGGTACATTTTTCTTGATTACAGCAGTCATTGGTGCAGCCACTGTGCTGAAGTCTCTGACAAACCTCCTGTAGAAGCTTGCTAGTCCATGAAAACTGCGAACATATCCAATGGAGGTTGGAGTAGGCCATTCACGGATCGCCTTGATCTTTTCTTCATCTACCTGTAGGCCATTTTTACTCACTACAAAACCTAAGAACACACACTTGTCAGTACAAAATGAGCACTTCTTTAGGTTAGCATAAAGGCCTTCCTTCTGAAGTGTTTTCAGAATTAACTCTAAGTGCTTAGTGTGATCAGAATAACATTTACTATAAATAAGTATGTCATCAAAGTAGACAACAACAAATTTACCAATAAATGACCTTAGAACCTGGTTCATCAATCGCATGAAGGTGCTTGGTGCATTGGTTAGTCCGAATGGCATAACGAGCCATTCGTAGAGACCTTGCTTGGTCTTGAAGGCGGTCTTCCACTCGTCGCCTTCTCTCATTCGAACTTGGTGATAGCCGCTTCGCAAGTCAATTTTGGAGAAGATGATTGCTCCACTTAGTTCGTCCAACATGTCGTCTAGCCTCGGAATAGGATGTCGGTACTTGATGGTGATATTCTTGATTGCTCTACAATCCACACACATCCTCCACGTACCATCCTTCTTTGGTACCAAAAGAACTGGTACATCACACGGGCTTAGGCTCTCTCTAATGTACCCTTTTTTCATCAAGTCGCGCACTTGCTTTTCTAGCTCCTTAGACTCCTCCGGGTTCATGCGGTAAGCAGGTTTGTTAGGTAGGGCAGAACCTGGTACAAGATCGATCTGATGTTCGATACCACGAATAGGGGGTAGTCCTGGTGGAATCTCTTCTGGAAAAACGTCGGTGTACTGATCTAGTACAGCTCGTACATCAGCAGGTAGTTCAAGTTCAGCTAAACCTGTACTTAGACATTCTTTGAAAACCATTAGTAGCACGGTGCCATGGGCACTCATGGTTTTACAAATCTGACTAGAACTTAAGTAAAGGCTAGAAGTTCTTACCTCGACCTCTTTGTTCATGTGTTTTTGCAACTCATGAACTTCTGATGGACTTAGAGGGGCAAGGTTAAACTTACGGTCATTGTGGGTGAAAGAGTAGTGGTTTGTGCGACCATCATGATTAGTAGCTCGATCGAACTGCCATGGTATTCTAAGGAGAAGATGTCCGACTCTCATTGGAACTACATCACAAATAACTTGGTCCTGGTACTTTCCAACGCTGAATGATACAGTCACTTGTTCAGCGATCTTTAGCTCAGCATCATCGTTCAGCCACCTAAGTTTGTATGGTCTCGGATGCTTTCTCTTTTGAAGACCTAACCTGTCTACCATATACTTGCTAGCAACATTAGTGCAAGAACCTCCATCAATAACCAAATTACATACCTTGTTATTGATTGTGCAAAAGAGTGTGAAAGATATTTTCTCTTTGAACTTTCTCCTCGGGGTTGATATACACGCTCAGCATACGTCGGATCACAAGGAGTTCTCCTACATCAGGATACTCCACATCTTCCTCTGGATCATTCAGGTTCTCATCTTGCTCATCTTGAGACTCGTAGTCTCCACTAGCAGTGAGAATCATCACTCGTTGGTTCAGACACTCTCTCGCCATGTGTCCTCTACCTTGACATTTAAAACAAGTAATGTCACGGGTACGAGATTGACTAGTGCTAGGAAACTTACCTGGTTCAGGCTTGGTGATCTTAGGCGCTTCACTAGACTTATTCTTGAATCGAGAATCGTTGTCTATAGCTTTGCCTTTGTCTATGCCTCGGTTGTTACTTGCGTTCCAAGGTTTACTACTCCTGGTACGATTGCTCATAGACATCTTACGCTTGATTTGTTGATCCACTTGTACAGCCTTGTGAAGTAGTTCATGTAGGCAGCTATAGTTGGACGTCTCCACTTTTCGGGTTATACGCTCTTGCAACCCGTCAATGAATTGAGCCATCAATGACTCGCTGGATTCTTCTAACTCCAAAGAGTTCATGAGTTTCTCAAACTCCTCAAAATACTCGTCCACGGTCCTTGTTCCCTGAGACAATTTTCTAAAACGTTTTTGTAAGTCTCTATGATAGTGATAAGGAACATACCTCAACCTCAAGAGGTACTTCATGTCTTCCCAATTGTTGATGGGAGCAAATCTTTGCCTCCTCCTCTCGGCCACTGTCCTATCCGACCAAGATAAGGCGTTGTCGGTGAGTTGTGCCGATGCTAAGGCTACTTTTCGGGGTTCTCCATATCCATAACATTGGAATTTGTATTCCATCCTCTTCTCCCAATCCATGTAAACCTCTGGATTTGATTTTCCTGCAAAAGTAGGAGGTGTT